GGGCTGGGATGGGGACAGGGAGAGCAGCAGGTGGAGCGACCCTGCGGGAAGGGGCTGAAATGTGTCAGGAGGAGCCCTTCCACCACAGGGCCAGCAGGCATGTTCCTGGCCAGGAAACGACAGAGAGAAGGACAGAGGCAAACAGAGTGACAGGTGTCCTTGAGATGAGGTGGACATATACACAGGTTCCCAGAGGGCCTAGAGGAAACAAGAGACGGGAAGACAAAGAGACGCTCAGAGAGGCAGAGAGCAGCGATGCGGAAGCAAGGACATGACAGATACGGGAAGTCATAGAGGGAGACAAGAAGGACCCAGAGAGAAAAAGATAGAGAGGCGAACAAAGAAAATAGAGAGACGGACACAGTCGGAGGACACAGAGACGCTGACAGAGATGGGAAGAGATGGAGACGGCCAGGGAGGGGACCGCGAGCTGGGCCGCACGCCTGGCCCTCAGGCTGGGCCCCCAGGCGCCAGCTGGCCCAGGACGGCCTCAGTGCGGCTCGAGACAGAGGCTGCAAACACGGATCCCAGCACCTTGACCGGGAAGACGCCCGCGGAGTCAGTGGCGGCCGCGGCCGCGGGTTCGGGCCAAGGTCTGGGGCTCTCGGCCCCCAGCGCCACCAGCAGGGCCTCCACCACGGCGCCCAGAGCCGGGACCTGGCCCGCCGTGTCCTCCAAGCACTACAGCAGGCGCAGTGCGAGCGGGTTGGGTTGAGCTCAGCCTGCAGGCGGTGCACCACGTCCAGCACAGGAGGGGCTGTGGGACAAAGAGACCAACCAGGAAAGGGTGACGGCAGGGAAAAAGAGAGGTGAGAGGTGGGGTCACGGGGAGCACAGGATGCAGCTGGTCCTATGGCTACTGGGAAAGGACCACTCTCAGGAGCCCTGGGGAGCACTCAGGATGAGGAAGGCGGGCACAGCCCCATGGTTCTTGGATACCTACTGTGTGCTGTGCCTGGCAGCAGGTACATTCTTATCCATGCTGTTTGACCTTTAGAACTCAGTAAAGGAAACATTTCACAGAGGAGGTACCTTGAGGGTCACAGTGATTTGCTCAAGGTCAAAGAGTGGGTAAGACAAGCTTCAAATCTGAGACCACTCTCACAGGTTAAAAAGGAGGCCAAAGAAGGCAAAGACCCATTGCTGGCTATGGGGAGGGGGTCCAAGGGGGCCCGAGCTTTCTATGGGTCTCTGCCTCTTAAAGTTGGGAAAAGCCTGAAGGTAGGGAGTGGGAGGGATTCTTCTGTGGACCCTAACATTGGCCCCAGCTTGAAGCTGAGGACAGAAATGGGCCTGGCGGATATGTGAACCAGCCAGTGAATGAATATGCGAACCTATGGCAACTTTCCATGACCCCCGGCGGAGTCACCCCCAGGACCCCCAGAGAGGTGCTGAGGTAAGCTGGGGAAGGGTGCCCCCCTGCAGTGGGGGCAGAACTCACAGCAGTGCACTGCCGCAGCAGGCACGACTGCTTCATGCGCCCGGGGCCCCCCGAACTTCTTCATGTCTCGGCAGAAGTGGCATTCCCGGCACTCAGTTCACACACAGGCCCGGCAGTGCCAGCAGTGGATTTGGCATCACCCTGCTCTGGCGTCTGGCCCCCCCACTACTCGACGACATTGGGGGTGTCAGCAACGCCAAAGGCTGTGCGTGGTGGGGGGCAAGGTCGGGGGGGCCCACGGGGACGAAGGGACACCAAGAGGCACAAGGGCCTCTCCACAGACATCCCCGCAGCGAAGCTCCTGGGAAAACCAGGGGCTCCTTGTCTGTGAAGTCACCTGAGACAGGTCCCAACTCAAAAAATGCGCTCCATCCCCGGCCTCTCCAAGCTGAAACACCCCAAATTTACCTCCCAGATCCCCACAGATTCCTGATTGCCAAATCCAGATCTCTTTTCTCTCAGAAGCTATTAACACCCAACTCCTCTTCCCCTAAAGCCTAGATCTCCTCAGATTCAGTGGGAACCTGCTCACCCAATCTAACCCCTAAAGATCCACCGGGCTGCCCAACTTCCCAGCGCTCACAGACCTTCTTTGAGATGCTGCTTTAGAACGCCTCCGTGGCCCCAAATGTCAACTCTGTTCCCCAGAGCTCCCTCTGCTCCAACACAGACTTCTTATGGGTCTCTCAGGTCAACCTGGGCAATCTCCCAGATTCCCTGGGATTCTAGAATCCAGCCTGACATCTCCATAGAACTCAAGATGGACTCATGTGCACCACCCCCGCCTCTCAGCTTCCCAAGCTGCTTTCCATCCCTAATTGTCTGGAATCCCTTGGGCTCCTTTTCCCAGGGAAACCAGATCCTTCAAGATCCCACACAGATTCAGCAGGCCTGGAGGGTCTCTTCATATCCACATCTTACCCCAGCTTCCCCCTTTCCAGACCCATCCATGGGGGGAGAGGAGGCCTCCAGCGCTCCAGGGGAGGGGCCTTGGAGGGCTGCAACTGCAGGCGGGGATGGGGGTCTGCAAGGGGAAGCAAGGTCTAGGAAGGAAGGCCAGTTCCCCAGGGTTGAGAGGTAACAGGAGAGAGGACTAGAGATGAGGAGTTTGGAGCACAGGGTGAGGCTGGGGGCGGGCAAGGTAGAGAGAAGCCGGGCTGAGGATGAATAGACTGGGAGCCGCCGAGGTCTGGGGGTGAGGAGGAGCCGCATGAACCCGCCTCACAAGTGTCCCGGGAGCCATCTCTCCCTTCTCGCCAGCTCCTGGCGGGTCGGCGGCACCCCGCCCCGCCTCTCCCCAGCGCCCCCGGCCCTTTAACTGGCCCCTTCCCGATTTCCACTGCCCAGGGGTCCAGGGCCAGACCTGGGAAGCCCTACCTTTGCCGGGGTTCCAGCCGCGCCCATCGCCGGTTCCCGGGGAGGGGGTGTTCCTGCATTCAACCCCCTGCCCTGGGCCCGGCCCTGGTCTGCGGCCTCCGGCGCTACTGCTACGGGGCGAGCAGAAGAGGGTGAAGGAGGCTGCTGTGCCCTGTCCCCCGAGCCTGCGCGCGCCCCCGCACTGTCCCCTCTCACTCCCCCAGGGGGCGACCCTCGGGAGATAGAGAGTTAAATAAAATTTGCATAAATCCCCTTCCTCAAGCTGGATGGTGGAAAGAAATGATGGAAGGGGACAGGAAAGCGGTGAGGGGGCAATCGGCGTGCCTCAATCCCCTCAGCGCTGTGCCGACTCGCGGCCCTGGCCACCTTGTTCATGCCTCTTGAGTTCCATCCTCCTTTCTCCACTCTTCCCCTTCCCTCCGTTCCCCTCCCTCCTCCTTCCCTCCTCCTCCCCTCTACCTCCCCTCTCCTCCTCCTCTTTACTCCCTCCTTCTCGCAGAGGAACCCCGCCCCCTGCTCCCTCCTTACCCTCCTTCTCGCAGAGGAACCCTGCCCCCTGCTCCCTCCTTACCCATCCACCTCCACTTTTTAGGACTAACATTCTCAGGGCACGACGGAAGTAGTAGTCCTGCGGCGCTGGTGCTCCCGTGGCAGCAAAGGGATCCTGGTGTTAGTGGGAACTACAAACAAGATGGCGGAGGAGGTGCCGAGCCGGGAGTGGTGGATGCCGGGAGTTACAGGCCGGTTGCCCCAAGGCTGCGGGTTGCTGAGCGTAGAGGTGGGCGAACGAGGACTACAAACAAGATGGCGGAAGAGGGGCGGACACCTGATTAGTAGTCCATTTTACGAGGTGGGATGGGAATGGTAGTTTCCTAGCCCTCTACAGTTCCTTAAGAATGGCAGGGCCAAGAGGATAAGGAGACTACCATAAAAATGGCAGGCAACCTAGCTTCTCAGGGTGGCCTCACTATACCACTTGGCACCTCGCCCGGCTGTATTATCGAAATTCCCCTCCTCTTGGCGCAAAGCTTGACGGGAGTTGCAGTCTTCCCGCCTCCCTTCTATTATCTTCGACCAGACAATGGAAGGGAAAGGGGGCGGGGTCTACCCGCAAAGATGGCCACTGGAGGAATGTTTAGACGGTGACCTGGGACTTGGTGTTCATTCGCTAAGGATACTCCCTGTGGAAAAAGGAGAAAGGACTACAACGAAGATGGCGGCCTAGCACAGCCTCTACGGCAGTGCCTGCTGGGGGACGTAGTCCCTTCCTTAGCTGAGCAGAGAAAGGACATGGGCTGGTGAAAAGTGCATCACCGCCGACAGTCTAAACTGAAACCGGACGGAAACGGAGAGTCTCTTTCCTTCTCTCCTCGCCACCCGCTTCTGACGACCTGCCAGGACATGTAGTCTCAAGGCTTCACTCGCTGGTGGAGGGGAAGAATTTCTGTCGCCAGTGGGGATCAATGCGGGTGAGGGAGAAGAGACCTCCAAGAGCCTCACCGTGTGGTAAGGACTTCATCGTTCAGGGGAAGGCTCTTAAAGGAAAGGAACGGTAATCAGTATGGTCACGACAAGGAAGGCGTGGTTCTTGCCGACAGTACTTTAACGCTCTTGTCCCTTGGAAAGCTTCGACTCCTCACACCTGATGCTTGTTCCCCCAAACCTCAGAGAATCGGTAGCTTCCAAGTCGGGAGAGCTCCAGGGAAAAGGCTCTGGAGTCAAATAAAATCTCCACCCTTCTTGGGAAGTCACCAAAGCTCGATTTTTCTCATTTGAAAAATGGGGATAAGGATACCTACCTCGAAGCAGAATGTTACGACAGTGTTCACGAAAATGCCCACCTTCAGAGCCTGACACAGGGCAAGTGTTGGTTGTTCTTTTCTGTAGGGCTTTTCCAGCCCGGCTGTTTTGGGATCGGGTGTCCGTCCTGCCGGAAGGAGTTAGCTCCTGGGAGAAGAAAACTGTGCCAGGCAGCCTACCCCATCTTGTTCCACACCCCCTGCTCCCCCGCCCCTCATCTGGGTCCTTCCGTGTCCATTCCCGATTACTGCTCCTAGGGGGCGCCCATTCTCCGTTTGACTGAGGTCCAACAACCTGAACGGATTCCTCAACCTGAAGTTCTGGCGCTGCAAATTGCCCAACCAATCTTGGAGGCACCCACGCCCCTCGCCGCTCCCCCGTCCCCGACCCCGCGAGACACCTCAGCTGCCAAGGCAAACCGGCCTGCTTCCTCCCACTGTACCTTCTGACCTGCCTTCTTAGTCTTCCTCCTCTGCCTGCAAAATGATTCACTTTTGAGCCCTGTGGTTCGAGGGCCCTGCGGAAGATTTGGTGAGTGTGGTTTTTCTGGCAGAGAATTGAACGCTGGCTGGCTGGTGTGATGTGAAGCCCTAAATTTGCAGAGACTGGCCTCAGGCTGAACTGAGAGGCTCCTTCTAGCTCACAGTGTATTTAGGAAATCCTTGACTCCCAGAAAATTGTTTGCTCTTCGGCCTCACTGCTTTAGTTTGGGCTTGCATGATTCCCCAGGGATTTTTCTGGAGCCAGTCCCTCTACCGATTAGCTTCTTCCCTTCCACCCTTCTCACCGCTGCACCCAGTTAACTGTTCATCTTCAGGTTTGTGTCCCAAAGAAGCCTTCATGTGTGTAACTCCCGGATGAGATTCAGCTGACTCTTCCCCTGTATATAAGCTGTATGAAGAGTCCGTCTCCTATGAGCTTTCAGCATCTCATTTGATCCTCATGAGAATCCTGTTGACGATCTCATTTTATAGATGAGGAAACTGGGAATGACTGAGTGATAAATCTAGGATTCAGAGCTTCTCTGGGGGTCTGNGAAGGTCAAGGCCATTTCTCACACTCTATAGAGCACCTCAGGGCCAGATGGTGTGCCTGCACCCCTAGCTGGCTGGATAGAGAGATGGCTGAGTGTGACTGCATACAGAGATACAAGAGTACTTTTGCTTTTCCCTATAACCTACCCTGCAGTTTGACAATTTTACCATGAGCAGATATTATTTGTATGTACTTCAAATAGGCTTCCACAGTGGCTCAGCGGTAAAGAATCTGCCTGTCATGCAGGAGACACAGGTTCAACCACTGGTTTGGGAAGATCTGCTGGAGGAGGGCATGACAACCCACTCCAGTATTCCTGCCTCGACAATCCCAAGGCCTGAGGAGCCTGGCAGCCTACAGTCCATAGGGTCACAGGGAGTTGGACATGACTGAAATGACTGAGAAGCCCTACTCAAAATATGAGTTGCAAATACTGCAATCCAGCCTCGTTGACATTAAAATATAAAAACAACAGTCAGATCTTCTCAGCCATAAGTGAACTCAGAGTTTACAGCACCCACAAGTCCCTTTACATTTGCACAAAAAATGCCTGTCTTCTGCCCACCTTATTTACACATTTTGTCTAAGAACCATCGGAAAGATGGCTTATGGCACTCGGGGTGGTGGTTTCCTATATGAGGGACTGGGGCTGCAGACCACATTGAGAAACAGGTGCACCATTCAGTCTCCTGTGGGGAGCTGCTGAAAAGGGATGGAGGGCTCCTGCCGGCTCTCAGAACCATCCACAACCTTGGATTGAGCTCACTGAATTCAAGAGCTGGAGCAGCCCATTGATCATGAAGTTCCTTTTCAGCAGTGAGTGCTCTTCTAGAAGCTCCAGATCTCTCCTGGATTTGTGTAGAAGGTCACAGCTTCTGTATCAGTCAGTGTAGTTCACCAACAAAGAACCCCAGGTTTGGGTGGCTACAGCAACTAAGGTCTGTTTCAGGCTCATGCTGTGTGTCTTGTGTTGGTGAGTGGGGAGAGGTCTGCTCACTCTAGTTCCCCAGGGATTAAGGCCAAGGGAAGAGGCTCCACCTGGATATGAGCTTCCATAATCACCATCCAATCACCGATGAATAGAGGGAGGAGGACTTGGTGAAACATGGCCTGGCTTCTATAGCTTCTGCCCAGAAGTAACACAGGACAGTTGTGCTCACAGTGTATTCACTAATCCATGCTGCTGCTGTTGTTGCTAAGTCACTTCAGTTGTGTCCAACTCTGTGTGATCTCATAGACAGCAGCCCACCAGGCTCCCCCATCCCTGAGATTCTCCAGGCAAGAACACTGGAGTCGGTTGCCATTTCCTTCTCCAATGTGTGAAAGTGAAAGTCTTCCCTAATTTCAAAGTGGGCCGAGACAGGAACTCTTTCCACTTTCTGCCTGGAAGGAAAAGAACTAGAATGCCTGTGAGTGTGTGCTAAGTCCTTCAGTCTTGTCCGAGTCTTTGCTACTCTGTGGACTGTAGCTCGCCAGGCTTCTCTGTCCATAGGATTATCCAGGCAAGAACACTGGAATGGGTTGCCTTGTCCTCCTCCAGGGCATCTTCCCGAGCCAGGATCACATTCACATTTCTTACATCCCCCGTGTTGGTAGTCGGATTCTTTACCACTTGCACTCCCTGGGAATGCCTGTAAACAGCCATAATGACAAACACAGCTTTCTGTGGCTCCGAGTGGAAGGGACAGACATCATGTAGAGGATTATGTGGGCAAGTGCCCACTATAAGACATGCACTGAGGGAACTCTTTTGTTGGTCACATGGGACACTATACAGAAAGCAGAGAGGAGGGCCTTCCCTGGTGGTCCATTGGTTAAGAATCAGCCTTCCAGTGCAGGTGAAGTGGTTGGATTGGGGAACTGAGATCCCATATGTCACTGGGCAACTAAGTTTGTGCTCCAACTACTCAGCCCATGTGCTTTAGCTAAAGAGAAGCACGTGCATTGCAATGAAAGAGCCTGCGTGCCACAACTAAGACTCAAAGTAGCCAAATAAATAAAGCTAGAGAGAAGCCTGTGCATTGCAATGAAAGAGCCTGTGTGCCACACCTAAGACTCAAAGTGGCCAAATAAATAAAAGACTTTTGGATAGCAGCCAGCCTGACTGGCGTGTAATGGTACCTCATTGTGGTTTTGATTTGCATTTCTCTGATAATGAGTGATGTTGAGCATCTTTTCATGTGTTTTTTTGCCATCAATTAGGCCGATTCTTGACGGTCTGAGCCACCAGGGAAGCCCCATGCTAGGCAGCTATGATGCAGACTTCCTGACCTAATCCAAAGTGAGCTGGGAGCCTCAGGCCTTTCTCCATTTAGAGATGAGCATTTGAGATTTAGTCTTCCAAAAATTTAGGATATGTGAGGGCGTGCCTCCTGCACAATACTGTATTCTTCCAATTACCTGTATTCTTCCAAATTCTTCCAAATATTCTTCTTCCAGAGCTCCATGGAAAACTCTGAATCCTCATGTAATTCTTCCAGCAGCTGCTACTAGGCCTCCTGCCTTCATGCCCTTCCTGGAATGTGCTTAGCTTCACCCCACCACAGGCCCAGACTGCGTGGGTGCTCAGTCACTCCAGTCGTGCCAGACCCTTTGCGACCCTATGGACTGCAGCCCACCAGGCTCCGCTGTATATAGGATTTTCCAGGGAAGAATACTGGAGTGGGTTGCCATGCCCTCCTCCAAGGGATCTTCCTCACCCAAGGATGAAAACCACATTTCTTATATCTCCTGCATTGGCAGCTGGGTTCTTTACACTAGCGCCATCTGGGAAGCCAGGGCAGCCCCCTAAACTCTTAACTGTTCATACACAGATATCAGGAAGCCCTGAGGGCTTAGATTTCAGCTGCCTAAAACCCTCTCTTCCATTAGAATGATCAGAACTCCACTTGATTTGGTTAAGCAAGGGTCAGTCCAGCTCTTACATCTATACATGACTAGTGGAAAAACCATAGCTTTGACTATATGGACTTTAGTCAGCAAAGCGATGTCTTTGCTTTTTCATATGCTGTCTCTGTTTGTCATAGTTTTCCTTCCAAGAAACAAGCATCTTTTTTATTTCATGGCTGCAGTCGCGTCCGCAGTGATTTTGGAGCCCAAGAAGATAAAATCTGTCACTGCTCCCACTTTTTCCCTTTCTACTTGCAATGAAGTGATTGGACCAGATGCTGTGATCTTAATGTTTTCAATGTTGAGTTTTAAGCCAGCTTTTTCTCTCTCCTCTTTCACCCTCATCAAGAGCCTCTTTAGTTCCTCTTCATTTTCTGCCAGTACGGTGGTATTATATGCTTATCTGAGGTTTGTGATATTTCTCCTGGCAATATTGATTCCAGTTTGTGAGTCCTCCAGCCTGCATTTTGCGTGATGTACTCTGCATAAAGCGAAATAAACAGAGGAACAGTATATAGCCTTGTTGTGCTTCTTTCTCAATTTTGAACCAGTCGGTTGTTTGTTATTGAGCCTCATACAGGTTTCTCAGTAAACAGGTAAGTTGGTGTGATATTTAGAATTTTCCATGGTTTGCTGTGATCCACACAGTCAAAGGCTTTCCAGTATCAATGAGCTAAAAGAGATTTTTTTTTTCCTGAAATTCCCTTGATTTCTCTATGATCCAGCTATCATTGGCAATTTGATCTCTGGTTCCTCTGCCTTTTCTAAACCCAGATTATACATCTGGAAGTTCTCAGTTCATAGACCGCTGAAGCCTAGCTTGAAGGATTTTGAGCATAACTTTTCTAGCACATGAAATGAGTGAGATTGTGCTGTAATCTGAAAATTCTTTGGCACTGCCCTTCTTGGGATGGGAATGAAAACTGACCCTTTCAAGTCCTGGGGCCACTGCTGAGTTTTCCACATTTGCTGACATATTGAGTGCAGCGCTTTAACAGCATCATCTTTTAGGATTTAGGATTCTAGAATTCTGTCTCCTCCGCTAGCTTTGTTCATAGGCATGCTTGCTAAGGCCCACTTGCTTCATGCTCAGTATTTCTGGCTCGAGGATAGTGACCTCACCATCGTGGTTACCTGGGTCATTAAGACCTTTTTTTCAGTTTGTCTGTTTATTCTTGCCAGCTTGTCTTAATCTCTTCTGCTTCTGTCACGTCCTTATATTTTCTGTCCTTTTTCATGCCCATCTTTGCTTGAAATGTTCCCCTGATGTCTCCAGTTTTCTTGACGAGATCTCTATAGTCTTTCCCATTCTATTGTTTTCTGATTTCTCTGCATTGGTCATTTGAGAAGGCCTTCTTATCTCTCCTTGCAGATCTCTGGAACTCTGCAATCAGTTGGGTATATCTTTGCTTCTCTTCTCCCTTGCTTTTCACTTCTCTTCTTTCCTCAGCTATTTCTAAGACCTCCTCAGACAACCACGTTGCTTTCTTGCATTTCTTTTTCTTTGGAATGGTTTTGTTCACTGCCTCTTGTACAGTGTTGAAAACCTCTGTCCATAGTTCT